CCTCCCAGAGGCCCCTAGGGAACCGTTTGAAAATGGGCGAAAAACGGCATTTACCGAGGGAAATTGAGCAGTTTGAAGTGGAATATAACCCAACTAACAGAATCTGTGGGGTTTTTAAATAAAAGAAATTATTCCAAGGTGGTTATCAGGCGAAAGAAGGGGGGCTGGACACTTTTCGCAGAGAACACCTTTCTGCGTAGGCGGCCTTCGGCCGCACTTAGGGATTATAACCCTCACAAAATAGAATTCTCTTTCTGTTTGGCGAAGAAAAGGAGCTGAACACCTTTTGCAGAGAACACCTTTTTTGCGTAGGCGGCCTTCGGCCGCACTTAGGGATTATAACCCTCAGGCAGTAGAATTCTCCTTTCTGTGTTGCCAAAGAAGGGGGGTTGAACACCTTTTGCAAAGAACACCTTTGTATATTTTTAATGCTTACTGGATTATATCCTATCTTCTTTTGTCTCTCATTCTTTTGCATATTTTGGAGTTTGACAGCTGAACCCCGCCATTTAATTTGCATAGGCAACCAAAGTCAGACGCGTGATTTTGAAGGTGTTTTTATTAAATGAATTGTAGTGAATTGGTTAATATTAAAGTCATAAAGAAAGTTATAACTAATCGAGTAAAGTGTAAAGTGAAGGGGAATATAAAATATATTGGTGAAGTGGCTGCTTTAAGGAGAATAGTAGTGATAAATGTACGCTAATTTCCGAATTTTACAAAAAAAGGCATATTTCAAACCCAATTTGTAAATAAATTAGTGATCAAAAATTACAAAAGTGGGTGTTAAAATAATGTGTAGACCCTTGACTAGAAGTGTGTGTAAATTCTTTTTGGATCAGGTCACCCCTTTGGACGCAATACCTCGAAATAGACCGGCAACGTACTAAAGAGTACCCGATTTTTCGCCCCATACAATATTTTTACTAATAATAAATATATATTCTAATTTTTTGTTTAATTCTTTCAGTACTTATCTACACCGTTTTCCGTTTTTATAACCTTCTTTCGTCATCTAAATACGAAATTCAAAGCTGTAAAGTCGTTTGAACCCATTTACTTGCATTTTTTGGTTGCGCCTTATAAATAGCTCAGATCCAATACTTTTCGTTTAAAATGCTGTAAAAATGTCAAACAACAAAATTACTCTCTGAAGTGAGAGTAAAAAGCGAGTAACAACAAAAAGTATGGGAACAAAAAAAGCATTTTTCTTGTAAAAACGTCAACCAGTGATCACTTGACGCTTTTCATGATTTTACCAGAAGAAAAAGTCGGGTAAAATCTTGCAACCTCATTCTCTACACAATTCTCCAGATATCGCTCTCATTTACAGGATTTTGGAGGAACTCGGAGAACGGGATCATTTTTCCCGTAACTTCCTGCAAGTTCGTGTAAAAACCTGAGTACTGGATCAGAGCTAATAAATCATTAGCAATACGAACCGCGTGCATATATTCTCTTTATTCATTCCTGGACCATAACATACTTATGGTAATTAACGCTGTTTTATTGTTCACTTTAAATTACAATGATAAGACAGTGTAAAATCAGAAATAAAATGGTGTAGAAATCCCATACAAATAAAATAGTGTATAATGATTTCAGATAAATATTTTCAAAGATAAAATAGTGTATAAGCAGATGCTTTCAGAAAAATGGGCCCAAATGGTATTTCTTAGTTAATATGATACATATTTTTTGTGGATTAATAGCTAAGGAATCAATAAAAAGCGTGGTGTACTCAAAATGTGAATACTTTGATTAAGAAGCGCACAACTAAAGTTTAAAGTTGATGAATTCGTTTATAAAAACATCGAATATGTTTTTCTCAAAACTATACTTTTCATGTTATACTATTTCATTATTCCAGCGACGATATGTACACATGTACATGGCATTGAATGTGCTAAGTAAACAAAGCTTCTACTACGTACTGTACCAAATTATGCTTTTGAGCTTT